AGCAGCCCCGAGGGGACATTGTCGCCCCCCGGGGCCCCTCCCCGACCCCCCCGGCTCATCCCCTGGCTGCCTGGGTGCCTCCCCTCGAGGACTGGGACCCCCCCAAACGCCTGGGTGCCCCCCCAAATGCCTGGGTCCCTCGCAGAGGCTGCTTCCGCCCGGAAGCACCCAGGGCCCCATGGTGGTGGGGACGTCACCTCCGGGCTGAGAGGGACTGGGAGGGGGAACTGGGGTAACTGGGAGGGACTGGGAGGAATGAGGGGGACCTAGGAGGGACTGGGACAAACTGGGAGCAGCCTCTCTGCAAATACAGGCAGCGACAGGGCTGAAACTGGGGATACTGGGAGGAAATGGGAGGAACTGGAAGGGGACTGGGGGAACTGGGAGGGATGGGGGCGGAACTGGGAGCAGCCTCAGCCAACACAGGCAGCGATGAGACTGAAACTGGGGATACTGGGAGGGACTGGGGGGCACTGGGAAGATCCTAGTACTGCCCCTCCCCACCCCTGCCCAAGCTGGGGACCCAGGCGTCCGGGAACCTCCACTTCCCACCCTGCAATGGAGACGGCAACCCCTTCCTAGTTCATACTGGGAGCCCCCAGCCCCTTCCCAGTCCATACTGGGAGCCCCTATCCCTTTCCAGTGTGGACTGGGACACCCCTTACCCTTCCCCAGTCCACGCTGGGAGACCCCCGCTTCATACTGGGAGCCCCATTTCCCTTCCCAGTACAAACCAGACCCCCACACCCCTTCCCAGTTCATATTGGGAGCCCCCAAACAACAGTCATGGGCATCAGGTTTATTCGCGTCTTCGGCACCTCACAGATCCCCGGACGCCTGGGTCGCCCCCCAGGATGCCAGGGTCCCTCCCGCAGGAGGGGGGGAAGGGGGGCAATAAAGAAGGAGGGGGATGAGAAGGCACCCAGGGGTGGGGGGTGGGGGGGCAGGCAGAAACTGGGTCGCAGTGGTCCATACTGGGAGAACCCACATGTGCATTAAGATCCCAGTCGGGGCGCCCTACCGGTCCATACTGGTCCATACTGGGAGAATGCAAGGCCACACGAGTAAAGAGATCCTGGGCAAGATGCTGTACTGGTCCATACTGGGAGGACACAAGGCCACACAAGTGAAGACATCCCGGGCAAGACACTGTACTGGTCCATACTGGGAGGACGCAAGGCCACGCGGGTGAAGAGATCCCAGGCAAGATGCTGTACTGGTGCGTGCTGGTCCGTACTGGGAGGACACAAGGCCACAGGGGTGAAGAGCTCCCAGTTGGGCTGCCGTACTGGTCCATACTGGTCCATGCTGGGATGGCTGAAGGCCATGTCAATGCAGTGATCCCAGCTGAGATGCTGTACTGGTCCATTCCGCTCTGACCCAAGGCGATGCATACATGGGGCTCCCAGTTGGGCCCCCAGACCCTTCCTGGTCCATACTGGTCTGGTCCAAGACAACGTAGATCCAGGAGTTCCCAGCTAGGATGTTGTAGGTCCGTACTGGTCTATACTCGGATGCCCCAAGGTGATGTAGAACCCCAGAGGGGAGGCACTGGGCTGTACTGGTCCATACTGGGGTGTCTCTGGACCCCCTGTGGGGATCTGTGGGCTTCCAGGGGGTCTATAGGTCCCCAGGGGTGTCTATGGGGCCCTCATGTTGGCCTATAGGTCCCCAAGGTGACCTAGGGGATATTTATGGGGTGCCTATGCTGCTCTACAGGTACCCAGAATGGACCTATGGGACCTCTTGGGGGATCTGTGGGGTCCCTACACTGCCCTATAGGCCCCCACATTGGCCTCTGTGTCCCCAGAGAGGACCTACAGTCCCCGTGGTGCCCTACAGGTCCCCACAGTGGCCTACAGGTCCCCAAAGAGGATCTATGTGTCCCCCAGGATGCCTATGGGGTCCCCATGGCAGCCTACAGGTCCTCTGCGATGTCTGTGGGGTCCCCACATTGTCCTATGGACCCCCACAGGGACCTAGGGCTCCCTGTGGTGGCCTAGAGGTCCCCAAAGAGGACCTACAGGTCCCCATGGGATGCCTATGGGGTCCCCACATTGTCCTACTTGTCCCCACGTTGACTTAGGGCTCCCCATGGTGGCCTAGGGGCCCCCAAAGAGGAGCTACAGGTCCCCATGTGGTATCCATGGGGTCCCCAGATCCCCATGGGGTCCCAGCAGGGCCCCTGGGCCGCCCCCAGCCCCCCGACGCCCCTAGCCCGTGGCAGGCCCCCCCGGGGGTGCCCCC